GTTTCTGTCCAGCTGCATTTCTGGGCTCTGCACTTCTGTCTGGCTGCATTTCTGCCCGGCTGCATTTCTTGTCTCCAAACCTGCCCCGGGCTGTCCCGCCCAGCTCAGCCCACACAGTGGCTGAGAGGCAGGTGCCCTTCCCTCCCTGGCAGGGTTTCTCCAGGCAGAAGGTGTATCTGACTAGTTCATGTCTCTGTTTATGTCTTACGCCCCCAGGAAATGGCCCTGGGATGCTCAAGGGACAGATCCTCCTCCTCCAGGTGCTCCCACCCCTGCAGCTCTCCCAGTGTTCCATATGCAGCGCTTCAAAAGCCAAAGTGCAGCAACCACTGGGATGGACTGTGCCACACTCGATTCAGTTTTAGAAAAGATGCAAAACCCACTTTTTCCAGAGCTGCTTCCACCTCTCAGAGGATGGAAGTGTTATCTCAGCAACCCTGGAACCTGCTCACTCTTCCTCAGGGGTCACACAAAGGGAGCCAAGCACTCGATTTTCACTCTGTGTAAGATTGGGTCATTTTCAGGTGCTGGGGCACTCACCCCACAGCACACTCCTGTGAAAATTGCCTTCTCTCCCCCATTCAGCCCCACAGGCTCACCTGGATTGCTGGGCTGCCATTTCCCTCTTCTCTGTACTGAGGGGCCCAGCTGGGCTCATACCAAAGCTGCACTGGAGGGACCTGGCTGCCTCACAACTCAGCACTCAAGTATTTATGCTGAAATGCATAAAAGTGTTGGTTGAAAGAGAACAAAGCTGGCTTTGATAAAAGCCCTCATGCTCCCTCTGCATTTTTATGGCCAGTTCCACTCATCTGCTGTGGTTTCCTTTTGTGTCCCCAGCCAGCTTCAAAATACTTGGTGGGTTTTTGGCAAAATACTTGGTGGTTTAGTGTTTCTTTGATTCTGGAGTTTGGCCTGTATTAACCTGACTCTGTGGGAGGCAGGGACGCTTTCCCTGCACCAGTTGTCCAAGGACTCTGAAGCTATTTCATCTCAATTGTTTCCTTTCCTCCTACTTATGTTCCTGCCAGGGAGTGCAATGTCAGATATGTAAAATTACCTTCAGGGAAATTCATAACACATTTCAGAAATCCCTGTTCCCCCACCAGCTCCCTGCAGAACTGCCTGTGCTGATGGGGCAGTCTCTGCTCACACAGAGGTTCAGGGAATGCAGCAAGGTGAGCTGTGCAGGACAGAGAACACCACAACCACCTCCCTGGCCAAGCTGGCCCTGCTTTCATCAGCCACAGCTCTTCTCTGAGCTCTGCTGAGCTATTCCCCTCCACACCTGCAGGCACAGGTCCCACAGACACAGAGATCTCACTTCATCCCTGCTGGGCTCCTCTTTGAGGCCTCAGCTGGATGGGAGAGCCTTGGGACACAGCAGGGAGCAAACAGCAAAGTTCTTCAAGCTGCTGCTTCAGAGTCCACATTGTCAATACTGCCCTGGTGAGGATTCCCTCAGTCAGAAGGGAGGAATCAAGGAGAGGCCTCAGGTCCTGGTAGGCCCAGACACCCAGGTTTGCTGACTTGCAGAGTTAGGAAAGAGGGAGCCTTGAATCCCAGCCTCTGCTCCATGCACCACTTACCTGGTTCAGTGAAATGTAACTCATTTAGGGAAGGAAGAGTGTGATTGTGACCTCTGTGCAAGGCATGACTTGTGGCAGCTCCCCAGGACAGCTCAGCTGATCTCACAGCCTGCAGCTGCCAAAAAGGAGCAAAGGCCTCCATCCTACCAGTGCCCCTGGAGCATCCCACAGGCTGCATGTGCCAACCCAGCAGCCAAGAAAGGAAAATTTAGCCTAAGTTATCAAACTGAACACACAAAGGGCTCAACAGCTGCTCCAGTGGGAGGTTTGGGAGGGAATGGGAGCAGAGAGGTGAAGCTACAGGAGGTGCCAATGCCAGAACCAGACCATGGCTCTGGGCTATGAACCCATCCCAGTACCAGAGCCAGACTGGAGCAAGGTCTGCTTTTAACCATCCTGAGCACATTTAGGGCACATAAACACTGACCCATACAAACCAGGCAGGCAGGCACTAGAGATCCCGCCAAATCCACACCGGGAAGCAATTAGACAAAACTGTTTTTATTTGCCCCTTGAACCTTGCTGGAGGGATTGGCTGGAGCACAGGAGGCAGGTTTGTTACTGTTCCCTCTCGAGGCACTGCTACATCTTAACACAGGAGGGACTCAGGAGTCAAATCTATGCAGACATTAAGTAGAAGAATCAATTTTCACATTAATTTAAAGTGATCTACATGTGGAAATTCGGGTTTCTGCTCTGTCTTGGTATTGATAAAGATGGGCTGCAAGATGAGCCTTCCTAGGTATCATGTAAATGCTTTCCATGCCTGAGGGTTGTCTACCATTATTTTCTAGGAGTTACCACAGGCAACTGGAAAACAGTTTTTCAACAGGCTGGATAAAAAGGAGTGAACATATTTGTGAGTCTATGTGAATTTTTATTAGCTCTCATTGACACAGGAACGGTGCAGCTTCAGCAGAGCCCAGACCTGGTGCTGTGTCCAGTGGAGCAGCAGCTGCTCTTCCCCCAGGCCACGTCTGCTGACAGGGACACTGCTCCCCACAGCTCCACTGAAGGCACAGTGGAGCCGCCTGAGCTCAAATCCCACACAGTGATGCTGCTTTCCCCCACCTCCTGCCCACCCCTTGAAATTCTCAGTCACCTCTGGGAACACGAATTAGCCCAGGTGCTGACTGAGAGCTGGGCTGCACAGCTGTCCCAAACCTGCCCCAGGTCTCTGTGCCACCAGCACTGCAGGGGTTTCTCATGGCCTGCAGGAACCCAGACCCTGACTGAGGCTGAATGACACCCAAGATCTCATGGTACAAAAGCTTCTGCCCAAGAATTCCCATCACACTGTTCATTTCTTCTCAGCATTTCAAGCCTTTGTGATCCTATTTAGTATTTAAGAGCCAGCAGGAAGCACACCTGGATCCATGCAGGACTCAGCTCTCCTCTCCCTGAAGGGGAGCAGGAGCTCCCAGCACTCTGGGGGCTGTGCTGAGGATTTCAGCTGCTGCCATTCCAACATGAAGGCTTTGACCTGAGCTCTCCCATCTCTCCAGGGCTGTTCTACTGACTGGGAAAGCTTTCACCACCCCAGCTCCTCCCAGTGCCACCCACTGCTCAGGAATCCACAGGTGCCATTTCTTGGAGGTCATTTACTCAGTGGTACTCAAGCTGATTTCCACAGTCTGCTCTGCACAGTGGCTCCTTCAAAATGAGGGGTGAGCAGTGCAGCAGATGTAAGTAACACGGACTGTAACTGGAGGATTTCAGGTCAGAACACATATCCTAACAGACAACAATCCAAATGGAAGTGTGAAATTAGTGATGCGATCCCACATTTTGCCATGGGTGCAGAACCCGAGTGAAGCTCTCCTGTCCTTTGGGGCACATCTCCTTGGTGAACCTGCGCAGTCCTTGGGCTTAGGGCTAAGAGACAGGAAGGGCAGGAGGGAAGAAGCAGTTTCCATGACAAATGTCCATCTGACACATCCAGCAAGGACACAGCACAGGATGTGCCTCCTGCTCCTCAGCCCTCAGCCCCCAGATCACAGTTGTGCCTCTCTCACTGCCCTGATAAATCCTGACTGCCCACAGCAGAAGTTCCTGACACCAGGCCACACATTGAGGCAGTGTCTCCAAATCATAGAAGTGCAGGTGCTCAAGCACTGCAGGAAGAAAGGATTTGTTTCTGCCCCTCCTGCTGTCAGGATGCCTCCTCTGGGAGACTCATCTGAGGCTCTGCCTGCCCTACAGAGCCCTGCCAGCAAAATTGTTTCATTAGAGGGGCAGGGGAAAGGTTCTTCCCATAGCCTTGGCAGCATCCTACCCTCACCTTGAGTTTGGTGGCATAAACAAATCCATCACCCTGCCCAGCTGGGTCAGTACCCAAGTGCTCGGGAGCAGAGGACAGGGATGTGTCCCACAGAGAGACACAGCACCAGCAAGCCCAAAGCACCCCTGGACAGCTCTTGTGTCACTCACACAGGGCTCAGCAATGGAGAATGAGCTGGGCCACGATTACCAGCAGTGATAAATGCAGGGAGAACCATGGCTGCTGCAGCCTCCTTCCATCTTTAATCAGCTCTGTGCCCAGCTTTTAAAAGGCAGAAACCAAAACTGGTCACAATATCCCAGATCACTCTGACCATCAGCTTTTACAAAAGAGAAATTCCTTCCTGACATCAGTGTTTAACACACTCATATGTTCCGACATGCTTCAGCACTGCCTGTCCAATGATTCAGGTGCTTTTCAGGCTGGAATCTCTTCACTCTTGCTGCCTGAAAGCTCCATGGTCTGGCACACTTTCTTTGTTTGCTGCTCTATCAGCTTATGCTGTCTGCACATTCTACCTGTGTTTGTTCCCAAGAACTCAGTTAATAGGACTGCACACTTTAGCTGGAATGCCTCACACTCACTTCAGGTGCCACAGCTGTCAGGTGGGATAAGGTTTTGGAGAACATAAATGTTAGAGCTTGGGGCAGCGAACATTCCTTCTGAAAATCAACAGAAGACAGCCTTAAGCCCTGGAACTGCTGTGGCTGCAGGTCAGACAGTTTCAGCTGCCACGAGGACTCAGTGCAGCAGTGCTGTCAGTGCAGTCCCTGTCCCAGTGCCCCATTCACAAGGTGTCACGAGAGACACCTCAGCCCCCCGGAGCAACAGCAGGCACCAGGGAAGCGGCAGAGCAGCCAGACTGGGGCAGGTTGGGCTACGAGGCAAAGGTGTCAGGGTGAGCTGTCCCTGCAGGGCACAGGGACCCTCCCACCACCAACACTCTTCCCGTGTGGGCGCAGCGAGGAGCCGGCCGTGCCAGGGCTGCGATTCCTGGCGCTGCTCAGCTGTGGATCTGGGAAAGGGGGCGGCAGTGGAGCCGTGGGTCGGTCACACCGGGAGCAGAGGCAAGCTGCGGCCAGCCAGGCCGCGGGGCGGGCTCGGTGGCGCTCGGGGTGCCCGGCCGCGGTCAGTTCAGGGCTGCCCGGCCCCGCGGGGCTCCGGGGGCTCCCGAGGGCCGGGCCCGGCTCCCACCCGGGCCGGCGTCACTCGTGGGCCACGCGCTCCAGCGCCACGTAGAAGCTGTCCTTGTCGTCCAGGCAGTGCCAGCCGATGGGCCCCGCCTCGCAGTCGGCGCACACCAGGAACTTGACGTTGCCCACGTCGCGGGTGAAGCCCACGTTCTCGAAGGAGAACATGTCGCGCACCAGCCAGTGCTCCCGCAGCACGTCCCCGCCGCCGCCCGCCGCCGCCGCCGCCGCCTTCTTCCTCATGGCGGGCAGGAGGAGCTGCGGAGACACGGGGCCGTCACCGCCCGGCCGGCACCGCCCGCTCCCTCCCCGAACCCCCCGGTACCTCTCGGCGGGCGAAGGTGGCGGCGCCGGGCAGCAGCACCCGGGAGCCGCAGCGCTGGCACAGCACGGCCCGCAGGTTGCGGCCCTGCGCGCACACGAGCCCGGCCGAGCCCGGCGCGGCCGCGGGAGCGGCGGGGGCAGAGGCCGGAGGCGCCGCCGGCTCCATCTCCGCGCAGGGCGCCGCCATGGCGAGGGGCGGGGCCGCAACGGTGACGTCAGCGGAGCACAGCGATGACGTAATTGCTGTGGCCCCGCCCCTCTGCGGTGGCCCCGCCCCTCTGCCCATCCACGGGAGGGGCCGGGAGAGCCGGGCTGGGAATTCTGTGCGGGAATGGTGTACGGGAATGGTGTATTGGGAATGGTGTATTGGGAATGCTGGGCTGGGAATGGTGTACTGGGAATAGTGTATTGGGAATGCTGTACGGGAATGGTGTACTGGGAATGGTGTATTGGGAATGGTGTATTGGGAATGATGTACGGGAATGGTGTACTGGGAATGGTGAATTGGGAATGGTGTATTGGGAATGGTGTACGGGAATGGTGTACGGGAATGGTGTATTGGGAATGGTGTATTGGGAATGGTGTATGGGAATGGTGTACTGGGAATGGTGTATTGGGAATGGTGTACGGGAATGGTGTACGGGAATGGTGTACTGGGAATGGTGTATTGGGAATGGTGTACGGGAATGTTGGACTGGGAATGGTGTACGGGAATGGTGTATTGGGAATGGTGTATTGGGAATGCTGGGCTGGGAATGGTGTACTGGGAATAGTGTATTGGGAATGCTGTACGGGAATGGTGTACGGGAATGGTGTATTGGGAATGGTGTATTGGGAATGATGTACGGGAATGGTGTACTGGGAATGGTGAATTGGGAATGGTGTATTGGGAATGGTGTACGGGAATGGTGTACTGGGAATGGTGTACGGGAATGGTGTACGGGAATGCTGGGCTGGGAATGCTGTACTCGGAATGGTGTACGGGAATGGTGTATGGGAATGGTGTACGGGAATGGTGTCCGGGGAATGCTGGGCTGGGAATTCTGTACTGAGAATGCTGTACTGGGAATGTTGGACTGGGAATGGTGTACTGTGAATGCTGGGCTGGGAATGGTGTATGGGAATGGTGTACTGGGAATGGTGTACTGGGAATGCTGCACTGGGAATGCTGTACTGGGAATGGTGTACTGGGAATGTTGTACTGGGAATGCTGTACAGTAATGCTGCACTGGGAATGGTGTACTGGGAATGCTGGGCTGGGAATTCTGTACTGGGAATGCTGTACTGGAATCCTGCACTGGGAATGCTGGACTGGGAATCCTCCCCCAGGAATCCTGCCCTGGGATCGGGCTGAGCCCCCAGCTGTGGCTGCCCCTGGGTCCCTGCAGTGTCCCAGGCCAGGCTGGACAGGGCTTGGAGCCCCCTGGGATGGTGGAATTGTCCCTGCCCATGGCAGGGGGGATGAGATGAGTTTCAAGGTCCTTCCCACCCAAACCAGTCTGGGATTCTCTGGTTCCCCAGGGATCCTGGACCGGCAGTGCTGTGTCTGTCGTGGCCCACAGGGACCATCAGGGAGAGTCACTTCCCAGCCATGGGAGTCTGGAGATCCTTGAATTCGTGGTTGGAGAAGGAGCTCAGTTGATGCTGGACAAAGGGAAATTGTCTCCCTTAAAAGCCTCCATCAGTGGAGATATTCCAGAACCATCTGGATGCAATCCTGTGCTGTGGGCTCTGGGATGGCCCTGCCTGGGCAGGGAGTGGGACCAGATGAGCCCCTGGGGTCCCTTCTCTGACCCTTCTGGGACCCTGTGAAGCTGCAGCAGTGATTGCACCAGGATTTGGGAGCACCTGGGCTGCTCTAACAGCAGCTCTGTGGCTGCTTGGCACAGGGAGAACCCCTCGATGGGGAGGGCAGAGGGCCTGAAAGGGGCAGGGGCACATTGGCAGCAATGTGTGACCCCACAGAGCCTGGGCAGAGTCTGGGCAGTGCCAGGGCAGTGCCAGGGCAGTGCCAGGGCAGGGCAGGGGGCAGTGCCAGGGCTCACAGGCAGCACTGAGGGATGAGGTCCTGGGGCCCAGGGCACTCTGCTGCTCTTCACTGAGCACCTTTGGGCCCCTCTGGCCGTGTGCTGCTCTGGGCTGCTGCCACCCCTCTGTTGGTCTTGAGAAGATTGAAAGAGGCCTTTGACTGAGCCACTGCTTCTTTAGAGGACAGGCCAGATCCCAGCAGAGCCCTGGCTTGCTGTAAATGTGCCCCATGTTCCTCCTGCTCACTCCTGACTGCTGCCAAGAGCCCTCAGGAGAAGCCAGAAATGGGAACTGATATTTGAGGTAAATATTCACTAAATATTCTCTGATATTCACTAAATAAATGTGTAGTATTTCAGCAGCAATCCAGCTGCTCACCTCAGGCTCCAGCACCAGCTGGGGTGTGAGTGTGGCTGGGAGACATCAGCCCACCCTCCTGGCACCTGGGCAGGAGCTTCTGAGGCTGGGGCAGAGTTTGGGGTGTTTGAGCTCCTGAGCCCTGCCTGGGGATGTGTGGGGAGCAGGAAGGGGACAGGGTCCAGTTCTGTCCCACAGGAAGGGGACAGGGTCCAGTTCTGTCCCACAGGAAGGGGACAAGGTCCAGTTCTGTCCCACAGGAAGGGGACAGGGTCCAGCCCTGTCCTGGGGCTCAGGGCAGTCCCAGAACCCCCATGCCTGGAGATGTTCTGGACTCCCCAGAGCCTGATCCAAAGAGGATCAGGGTTACAGACCCCCAGAGTGCCCTTCCCAAGCACAATTATCCCTGGATTCTGTGAGCTCCTTCCTGCTCATGGAGGGTCAACACCAGTTTGAGAAAAACACCCCAGAGCATTGCTGGGAGCTCAAATCCATCCCTGCCGTGGAAGCTGACTCTGGCTGCCCCAGAGGCACCTGAGGGTCACTCCAGTGTCACTCCAGGGTCACTCCAGTGTCACTTTTCTCTCTCTCCAGAGCTTCAGAGCCTCCCCATGGTCACTCCTGCCCCAGACCAGCCAGGAAAGCTCTGCTCTGCCCACACAGGGGGCTCAGTGGGAGAGGCCTGTGGCTGCATTTCTCTCCACAGAGAAAAGCAAGGCACAGCTTCCCAAGGATATTTCCTGGGAATTGCAGCGAGGAACCTCAGAGAAAGAAAAAACAATTCTTATCTCATTTGCTGCTCCTGTTGTTGTGTTGGAAGATTGTTTATCTGAAGGAGTTTGTCAGTTGGATTCTGCTGAGGATTGTTTTGTTTCCTTGGCCAATTGGAAAAAGCTGTGTCCTGGCTGTTGAGAGGCAGTCTTGAGTTTTCTTTAGTATCTTTTAGTATTCTTTAGGATTCTTTGTAGTATAGTATAATACAGTATAACAAAGTAATTAATTAGCCTTCTGCTACCATGGAGTTCTGCCCATCATTCTTCCCAGACATTGGGGATCCTTGCAAATCCAACAGGAGGCCTTTCCCTCCCAGTCTGGAGCTGAACATTTGTAAGGTTCTGCCTGGCTGTACCACAGGTGCATATCCTAATTTTGGGGTAACCCGGGCTGTGAGGGGTGATGTGGGAGGGGAGCCCTGTGCCTGCCCTGGGGAGGCTGCAAACCCACCCTGCAGGGCTGCACCTGCCCTCACCTGCTCACATTGATGTGAGATGGGCACTCCTGAGGAGTCCCAGCCCATAAACCTGAGTGGCACCACAGCACCCTGATGTCTCAGCTCGTGGCCCCAGGCTGCTCTGGGCTGGTGGCTGCAGTGGTGGCTCTCACTGTTACAGTCCTTGGACAGTGCAGGAATTAAATAAAAACCCACGAAAAGGATCTTCGGCCAATTCTTAAGTCTTGGATGGGAGCTTTCTCTGTTGAAAACTCACCCTTAATTCTTCAGTTCTTACTTCTTGTCATTTCCCAGGACGTTTCCTGACCACTGCACAAATGTGAGTATTCTTTCTCTTCCATACAAATTGGCTTGCTGCAAGGTGTTCATTCACAACCAGCTCAGTCAGGAAAACTGTAGTATTTTAAATTTATTTCTGTAACTGTTACTTTATCAGTTACTCTTGCAAAACTCCCAAGTCAGAGGTGGTGCTCCCATGTTTTGCTAGCTCCCTCAACATAAATAAGGCAGAGTGCTTGGTGTTTAAAGAAGAGCTGAGGTGATTATGTGTGCCTTAGCTGCAAGGCCTGCCTTGGTGATTCTCCTCTGCTGCTTCCATGCAGCCAGCAGTGGAAGGGTGAAAATGCCTTTTAGCATTTTCTGCTGGATCAATCATGGAGCAAAGCTTCACTCTTGCTGGCCAGGGAGATCCATACCAGCTTCCTCCCAAGCAGAACATTTTGTCTCTGTTTTGCTTTCAGCCGGAGCCTGGATGTTTTCTCATCTCCAGCAGCAACATGGAGCATTTTGAACATTTATATTCTGCATTGCCTCCCTGGAAACACCTTGAAGTTCCTCTTCAAACCCTTCAGTACATCCTGTCGTGGAGAGGCAGGGATGGATCTGCTGGTCACATCCTGCTGTGACCCAGTTCTGCTGCTGCTGAGTTTGTGCCCAGCCACACACTGGACACGGCACTATTGGAGCTGAATCCCCCTGAGCCCCCTGCAGGAGAGCAGGGCCTGTCAGGGAAGGGAGAGCAGCCCCTGACAGCTCCAGGGGCAGCACCAGAGCCTGGCAGAGGGCACAGCTGGGACAATCCATGGGTGGCACCAGGGAGTGCTGCACTCCCCAAACGGAGCCTGTTCCCTTCTTTGCTTCCCCAGCCCTCACTGGCTGAAGAATGATGGAGCAGTTTGGGGACAGGTGTCAGGAGAGGCTCCTGAACATCTGCAGTGAGGGCTGAGCTGTTTGTGGGGGGAGCAGGTAGCAGGGGGAGGATCTGGAGCCATCAATGAGGCAGTTTGTCCTGAAACCAAGAGAATCTGTTTTGCACATGGACAGATGAATTAATGCTGGGCCCCATTCATCCCACATGCCCGTGGAGGAAACAGGAGCTGTAATTTTTTGCAACTGCAGCTCTACTGTAACAGTATTAGGATTATGAAATTGTTTAATTTGGAAAAGGCCTCTAAGATGATTGAGCCCAACCATTTCCCCAGCACTGCCGTGTTCACCACTAAATCATGTCCCCAGGGGTGTTTTGAACACTTCCAGAGATGGTGACTCCACCACAGCCCTGGGCAGCTGTG